CAATAAGCAGCTTTTCTTCATAGCTCTACCAATTACATTTTTTAAAAAATGTTTGTAATTTTTATATATTTATAATTGATGCACACAAAGAACTTTTTCAAAATTTTTGAAAAAAGATATAGAATTTTATGTAATATATAAGTATCAGTTCGCAATGCATATACATTATTTTTGTATTACATATATGCATCATTTTAAAGAGATTTTTCCTTAACTTTTTAGAACAATTTCGTATTTTAACACGAAAGTAATTATTAGATTACACAAATGTATTCGAAAGAAGTTGGAAATTATTTGAATTGAGGTTACGTTGCTTTTAAAATTACTTTGTTAAAAGAAAAATGAATAATTATTATTTTAAACCTGAAACGAAAATACTTTACTACTATTTGTGTGTATAAAACGTAATTCGTCACCAAAATGTACCAATTCAATACATTGTAGTTATAATATATCTAGTAATATTCAATATTTAAGAAATACAAAAAGATATTTTTTTTCTTAAATTCCAATAAATTTTTTTCCAACTAGAATTTTCAAAACAAAGGAGTTTTAAAACTTGAAAGACTTCTTTATTTCAAAAATTAGAACTTCTTTTAATGGAAAATACGTCTTGCTATCTAATTTTTTATGTCAGAAATGGTAAAAGTACAATTATTATGGTTCTTGCATATATTCCCATGAAAGAAGAATCTAGAGCATGAACTGTAAAAACCACGCTGTTTTTTTTTAAAAAGTTTTTATGCTTAAAGTTCGAGATAACTATATTATTGATCATCGTTGAAGTGATTTTTTCGAGAGTGTACCATTTGAAAATCAATTCAAAAAAATATTCTCCATTATTTTATCTTTTATTTAACTGTTAAAAAATATCACGCATGTTTTACCGTCATATGATTCAAACTAACTGCTAGTTAACTTGTTGCTAATTTGAACTTTGTTGTTAAACTTTTCAACTTATTTAAACTTATCATTATTGAACTTATATTAAGATTCAATTTGAACGGCTACTTGATAAAGCTAAGAGCCTTATTGAAAACTCTAATAAATCTATCCGTTTGATTCTAGGTACCGATATCACGGTTAAACACTAAACCAATTTTCTTAAGAGTGATTGTTCATTAATGATACGCTATGGCATATTGACATTTTATGCAAAAATAAAAAGAGGGAAATTTGCTTTACCTATTAACTTTTGTTTACAAACAAGCGTTGTCTATTGGAAAATATAATCCAAGTCTTTAAAAAAAAATGCTCCATTTATTTGAGCTTGTAATTTACTGCTTTCACGACAACGATGAGTATTATCCACGTTTAAACCCATCCACGGTTGATCTGGAGTGAAAGATGAAGTTATAACAAGTCTTGGGTAACCGGTGATAAGGCTTAAAACCCATAATTATCCGCAATTAATGTGAGGTACCTCGTGTTGTTATTATGAAGGTGGCAATGTCACGCATAGTCTGTTGGTCTATGGTTACGGTAAAAAGTCACGACTATAAGGAACGTGAGTGCGTTTCCTGCTTTTTATTCTTAAAAGAGAGTTAAACCTGAAAATCTTCTAGATGGTTGAATGTATAATCCTTATAATATCACGATATTGATTTTTTTACTAAATTATTTTTGAATGAATAATTTTCCTCCAATTTTCTTTGTTCGAAAACAAATATTTATCAACTTTTTCGTGCTTGTTTTTTTTTTTTTTATTCATATGGTTACCACGTAATTGATTGATGTAAAAAGCATAAATATAATATTTCAAGTTTTCAAACAGATAGCACTGCACAGATCTTAGAAGAAAAACACGATATTTTTCGAAATTCATTAAAATTTTCCTATTTATAATTACATGTTATTTTGAATTAATGTTTCCTACCAGTTTTCTTGATTTTGAAACAAATGTTTATGAATTCATTCGTATTAATTTTGTTTACTTGCTTTTTAATAATTAAAAAAGATTGGATTCCCAGAAATTCTATGATGTAAAGAAAATAATAAATTTACTATTCAAAGCAAGTAATAATTTATTGTAAAACTTCAGCACAGATCTTTAAAAAAATTATATTTTGCAGAATTTATTGATATGTTATGAAATCAAAATATAATATTCCTATGATATTTTATGAAAAATTGTCATTTTAACTATGTACTTTAAATTTTTGAGCTCGATTCTTATTTTTATTTTAGCATATTTAGGATCGTTATTTTTACAAAATGAATAGACATTAATCACACTAATTTAGCAGGTAATTAAACAGAAAACTAAATATTTTCTTTATTTATCATTGCAAAATCTAAAAATAAAATGCACTATTTCGATGCACAATTTTATAAAAATCTATATTCTACCTGTGAATTTCTTCAGACCCGTAATTGTAAAGTCATTCCCAGAGAATAAATTATTAAAATTCATTAAATTTTGGGAAACTTTCTGTTTTATCTCATTTAGAAATATTACGCTTCATTTGAGAACTGTAAAAATCGAATCATTTGCTCGCCATGTTGACTAATAATATTTGCTGACAAATAAAAGATCTAAGAAAGGCAAATGTTTGTATTTGGGAAATGATTGAGCCACGAAATATAAATTAAGCCAAATATTTGCAAACCTTTCCTCCCTATGTCGGACTTTAAATTAAGAATTTTATTACATTTTTTTTATCGTTCAAGAGTATGAAAGAATATTTCTATGATAAAATTGTAATAAAATATATTTTAGACAAAACTGAGATTCAGATTTTTGGAATAATGTATTTATTTTAGAAATGTAAGTTGTAATTTGTAAAGCTATTTGCTTGTTTGTTTTTAATATGCAAAATAGTTTGCGCGTTATTATGTTAGTTGCGATTTACTTATAGTATTTTAAGAAGAAACTAATTCCGTAGTTGTTTATGAAATTTTGTTACAAACTGCCAGAAAATTTATAATTTTTCAAGAAGTAGAAATAGAAGCATGTTTCGAGTAAAAAGTTTTAGAGAAGTAATTAGATTCATTGAGAACCTAAGCACCATATAAATATACCGTTTATTTTAAAATAAACGTTTTTAATTAAGAATTAATTCAAGTCAAACAAAAACTTGACATTTTCTAAAATACATATTCCTTGCACTAAACATGCGTTTTTTAAAATATACATGAGTATAAATGTTTGATAAAATTATTGAAATTTGGTTTTGAACTTTTTACATACCAAATCACGTGCAAGGCAAAAGATTAAAATTTAAAATTTACCTGGAGTTTTATTAAATGCGATACTTTAATAACTTTCAAAATTTGTCATATATATAACTGACTTTTCCTCTTTTTATTACTGACTTTATTGTTCATAATTGAATCATAAATTGAATCATGTATTGAGAAATCAAATATTCGATATGTATTTTGCTTTTACTGCTGCTTTACTGTTACTTATTTTGCTTTCAGTGTAAGATAATAAAAATATGTGTATATATAAATAAAAGTTTGAAGGAAAAGTAGTTTATGTATAAAACATTATTTTAAAAGTAAGTTATTTTTGAAATAAGTCAACTAATAACAAATTTTTAAGAAAGTCAAACTAATTACGAAAAGAAAAAACTTTTCTTTCACCTCACACAATTAAATCAGAAAAATATGCTTTCTGATAGTTCATCAATATCTCCACGATTGAGGATCATGTAAAACCAACTATTATTGAATAAATTGCAATTAAATTCTATATTAAATCATTGAGTTTAAGACGACATTTTAAACACGAGTTATAATTGATTGAATTTTTGTCATTGATTGAAGTTAATATTATTGTTTCCACGTACATTTCGGGAATCGAATATCGAATTGCCACCGAACAGATTGGTTACCGTTATCACCTTTTGTGGAAGTACAGCTTGACATTCTTCATTCATAACGCACTTTCAAATTATTTATTTAAAATGCCTAAGGAACTAAACTGACATCCTTTTTTAAATGTTTCTATGTATAGTGAATATTTTTATTTTTTTATTTTATATATAT